TCCATTTTTTTGGTCTGCGACTTAATCTTGGACAGTCACAGACTTTCAGGAATTGTTGGTGCAAATAGAGATAATTACAATTTATGACATTTTTGACCATCCAGAGTCTATTTCGTTGGTCTGCGACTGATTATTAGGCACTTTCAGACTTTCAGGAATTTTTGATGCTAATGCAGATAATGACATTTTAGGGTAAAAATGCTCTACTTATGACTAAAGGGTCCTTAAAAGTAAAAGTCATGATCAGCAATGGCACTAAACATCCTGAAAGTCTGCGAGTCACAAGGAATCAGTCGCAGACCCAAGAAATGTACTCTGGCGGTTCTCTAAAAGTCAGAAATGTCATTATCTCCATTGGCATCAAAATTCCTGAAAGTCTGCAAGTGTCCCAAAATCAGTCGCAGACCAGCGAAATGAACTCTGGTGGGTCGCTAGAAGTCAAAAATGCCATTATCTCCATTGGCACCAGAGATTCCTGAAAGTCTGCGAATGTCCCAGAATCAGTTGCAGACCATAAAAATGGACTCTGGCGGGTCCCTAGAAGTAAAAATTGCCATCATCTCTATTGGCACCAAACTTTCCTGAAAGTCTGCGAGTGTCCAACAATACGCTGCAGGCCAATGAAATGGACTCGTAAAGGTCCCTAGAAGTCAAAAATATGATTATTTCCATTGGCATCAACCATTCCTGAAAGTCTGCGAGTGACCAGGAATCAGTCGCAGACGACCAAAATGGACTCTTGAGGGTCCCTAGAAGTCTTAATTGTCAATATCAGCATTGGCACCAAAATTCCTGAAAGTCTGCGAGTGTCCTTCAAAAAGTCGCAGGACAATAAAATAGTCTCTTAAAGGTCCTTAGAAGTCAAAAATATCATTATTTCTATTGGCACCAAAAATTCCTGAAAGTCTGCGAGTGCCTCAGAATTGACTAGAAGTCGAAAATGTCAATAAAACTTTGGCAACAATAAATCCTGGAACTCAGAATCAGTCTGCCAACTGAACTTTCCACCAGAGCATTTTTAACTATATTTCGGAATGCCCTGCTAGATTGCCTAGCCAGCTTATCATTCCACAAGAGCATTTTTACACCATATTTAGTAATGCCCTGCTAGATTGCCTCCACCAGAGCATTTTTTCACTATATTAAGGGATGCTCTGCTATGGTGCCTAGCCAGCTGAGCATTCCAGCAGAGCATTTTCACTCTATATCTAGTAATGCTCTGCTAGATTGCCTAGCCAGCTGAGCATTCCACCATAGCATTTTTTTCACTATATTAAGGAATGCTCTGCTATAGTGCCTAGCCAGCTGAGCATTCCTGCAGAACATTTTAACACTTTATTTAGTAATGCCCTGCTAGATTGCCTAGCCAGCTTAGCATTCCAGCAGAGCATTTTTACACTTTATTTCGTAATGCTCTGCTAGATTGCCTAGCCAGCTTAGCATTCCAGCAGAGCAATTTTACATTGTATTTAGTAATGTCCTTCTAGACTGCCTACCCAGCTTAGCATTCCAGCAGAGCATTTTTACACTATGTTGAGTAATGCTCTGCTAGATTGCCTAGCCAGCTTAGCATTCCAGCAGAGCATTTTTTCACTATATTTAGGAATGCCCTGCTAGATTGCCTAGCCAGCTTAGCATTCCAGCAGAGCATTTTTACACTATATTTAGTAATGTCCTGCTAGATTGCCTAGCCAGCTTAGCATTCCAGCATAGCATTTGTACACTATATTAAGTAATGTCCTGCTAGATTGCCTAGCCAACTTAGCATTACAGCAGAGCATTTTTACACTATATTTAGTAATGCCCTGCTAGATTGCTTAGCCAGCTTAGCATTCAACTAGAGCATTTTTTCCACTATATAAGGAATGCTCTGCTGTATTGCCTAGCTAACTTAGCATTCTAGCAGAGCATTTTTACACTATATTTAGTAATGTCCTGCTAGATTGCCTAGCCAGCTTAGCATTCCAGAATAGCATTTGTACACTATATTTAGTAATGTCCTGCTGGATTGCCTAGCCAACTTATCATTACAGCAGAGCATTTTTACACTATATTTAGTAATGCTCTGCTAGATTGCCTAGCCAGCTTAGCATTCGAGCAGAGCATTTTCTTACTATATTTAGTAATGTCCTGCTAGATTGCCTAGCCAGCTTAGCTAGCCAGCTGAGCATTCCAGCAGAGCATTTTAACACTATATTTAGTAATGCACTGCTAGATTGCCTAGCCAGCTGAGCGTTCCAGCAGAGCATTTTTCACTAAAGGTAGGAATGCTCTGCTATATTGCCAAGACAGCTGAGTATTGCAGCAGAGCATTTTTACACTATATTTAGGAATGCCCTGCTAGATGCCCAAAACAGCTGAGCATTACAGCAGATCATTACCTTCCCTATATAAATTGAAATGCCTTTTTGCTTAGCTCACTGTTCACTGCTTACTTCTCACATACAAAAAATGATCAAATATTCGGCTGATAAAGTCACAACAAGCATTGAAAGCGCTACCGAAATAATTGAAAATATGAAGTTTGTTGTTATTTCTTAAATATTAAATATTTTAGTTCAACACTGCTCAAGGGAAATTTATCGCGTTTTAATGTCTTATAGTTACGAGTATGTTTATCATGGGATTAAATTGATTTCTGTTGATAAAGTGTATGCCTGATAAATACAGTTTTATCAATAACCCTTAGCTTTATCAGACACTTATACATATTGAAAAAAAATAAGGAAATGTATGGTGGCTGATTTGTGCCATTCGTGTTAATGTATTAAACATTTTCCCGCGCCCCGCTTATTAGCATGTTTTCGCTCCGCGCCCCCGCCATTTAAATTTTTCGCTTGGCGGGTCGCGGGCGAAAACACAAATTGCACATGGAATATTTTTTACCACATACTAGTTTGAAAATATTAAACTTATAAACAATGAGTCGAACAGAATTTTCAAATATTCTAGCCTCTCTTACATTAGGCTGAACACATTCGAGACTATTTCTTATTGATTTGACCTCGGCTTATTTCTGCGTGCGGCATTAAATCGACAGCTTCTGGACAGGTTTGTGTTTCAATCGAATTTAAACGACAGAAAAGCATATTAACATTGAAAACATGATAAATAGAATAACAAACAAGTGTCTGATATTATAAATTTATCAGACTGGCACGAAAACTTTAAGCCGTGTCTGATAAATTTTGTGAAATCAGACACTGAAACTGGTACTTTACTGATACGGTTTATATATATCAGCAAAATTATCACTACAGTACCATTTACCTTGCTATTTATGACGTCAAAGACATTTAATTGCGTAAAGTTAAAGAAATCACAAATCTTTGAAATTTAAACTAAATAGAAAACTTGTTTCCTTGTTTGCTTTTTCAACATCTAATGTGAGATTATTTTCCGTTTGTGAACATTTCCACTTGTGCCTACTTTGATAATACATATAAATTAAAATACAAACAAACAAATAATCTCACTGCTGTAAATTAAGAAATCAAGTACTCGCTGTACCCGCTGTACCTCCTTACATAAGCAGAAAAGATTAGCCGGAAAAAAAACTTTATCGAAACCGTAAAAACAAGATGTCTTAAATTTTAAAATGCGCAAATCCATTGCCCATACCTGTATGCAATAAATTTAATTACGCCCATTATCTTACCCCAAATTACCGCCTACACAGCTGACAACTGCGGGTATATGCAACATTGACTGCAACGAAAGAAGACACTCAAAAAGCCAGACTTAAGAGTTCTCTTAAAGAGTGTGATTTATATGTAATATGCTTAAACCACAGTTAATTGTGGGACCAAAATGTCGGGTATATGAAATTGTAAAGCACTGAAGTGAAGATAATATACTACCTAGTCCTTTAATCTTTCTAAATAAAGCTTTGTGGAGTGTTTACCGTCAACATATATATCATCATCTATAGAAGAAATACACCTACTCTGTTACTATCCCAAATTTTGTTTATGTCATAATAATAATAAATAAATATAAAGAAGTCATACTTTCGTTCAAACATGTATACTGTAGCTAAAAGCATAAGTGGCATGCAAGACATCTTGATAAAACGATTATGGTTTTACATACATTTGATAAAAAATATTATAAAATCTAATTCAATGACAACTAGTATGATTTTTCCCATTATTATATCTCGTTAGTTACTTTTTATTGTCTAAGAAAAAGCTCTTTAATTATATAATATCTTATAGTTGATTTTAAACAAAGATGAAAAGTCTTATAGCATAGACAATTTGAGTGTGATCGGAAAACAAGCCCAATAAAAGTATTTGAATAATGTAGAATTTTCTCTTAGTGAAACATTTCTTTAAAACAAAATAAAAAAAATGTTGAAAAAAAAATAAATTATTAATATCAAAGAAAAGAGAAGATTCGTCAAAAGCAATAAAATTGGAATCACAGTTCTAATCTGTTTGATTCCCACATGGGCCCATTTAAGTCTTTATTATTTCACATATAACGTGTCCCCCTCCTCCTTTCACTGCCCTGATGTCCACTCCCGGTTTTGGTTTGATGCCTTCTAGGTGCCCTGCTATGGAAGCTTGGTTGTGTCGGGGGCTGCGTCCTGTGAACGTTGCCTTTGCCTTGTTGATCTTTAAACTCGTTTTTAATGAGTGATAATAGTCTGCAAAATCTCTCATCTTCTAATCAGTACTAATAGAACTGGATAAAGTTTACCTGACGGACCATAAAAGTATAAATCAACACATTGGAATAAAGTCCGGGGCAACATATTTACAGAAGCCAAAATCATTTTTACGAGAAAAATATATGAGAGAATGGGAAAGACAGTATTACCTATGAATTAGGTATTTATTAGTATCTTTATTACCAATAATTATTTCTAAAAGACAAAACTACATTTTCAGCGGGAAACTTTACTACTCATTTTGCTAATATATTAAGTTACGGGTCCGCTTATTTTCGGCAATGAGTGTAAGTACACTTTATTGCAGCTATAAAAGATAGGAAATCTTAGATACCCCTTACAGCCAAACTGAAATCTGGTTTTATCATATGTATGTATAGCAATATGAAGCTACATTACGTTACGTTCTGCGTAGTCTATGCTTACTTGGGAACGGTTAAGTTCACAGACGGGCGATCCCTCCAAGGTAGGGTTCTTTTTTTATTTTTTTGTTAAACATTTAATTCGATTTAGTAAAACTTTTAATTTATTTTTCTAATTATTATCATACATAATTATGTTTTAAAATTCAATAATATTGTTTAAATTCTCAAGATACTATAATGTGATTCTATTGAAATTATCTGCCCATGAACGGCTTCGTTTAATCTGAGTATATTCATTAAAATAAAAAATTTGTAAACAGATAAAATAAAAAAAACCTTTTTGTCAATATATGAAAATTAAGGAATTTTAATTTTTACTCGTCTTCTACTTCAGACGCAGGATCGTGTGAATCAGAACAAGGTACTTGCATTTTCTCTCAATATTTTACACCCGTATATTTGTAATTATTATAATGAATTGGCCTTTCTTTACATTTGGAACCGTTGATGATTATTACTAGTTAAGTTTATACGAATTTATTTTAGTTCGATTGTGTTGACAGATACAAGCTTATTGGAGCACTCTCGAAAATATAAGGGATTTTAATTCAAAATGATTTAACTAAGAGGCCAACTACCTAGGGCCCATATAGCCGACAAAGATAAACGCTAGTTGTCAAACAGATACTAATACCAGGCCAAATACCCGAGTCCTTGTACCTCCTGTGATACAAGGAGAGAACGGGGAGAAGAGAATAAACGAATTAATGATGGACTTCTTTTCATTCATTTTCGGATAATTCAAACAATCTAATCAAATTTTCTATAAACCAACGTATTTTACAAATAATTCTTTAAGTTAATATAAAGTATGGTTTGGAACATATCCATGTTTTTCGGACATTTTCAAGTTGTGACATAGTCAGACATTGTATTATTTTTGAAAATATTCGACTGTCTGGTCATCTAAGTATATAAGGTGTTTATAAATCTGTAGTCAAAGAAGAAATTTATTTAAACAAACTTTATATATTTTATTTATTCGGTCTTGAATATTTTGAAAATAGAATATATTCTGTATTGCCACAACAACTATGTTTCACCTGCAATATTGACATATGTACGTACTTCCCCTACCAGCCCTGTTTGACATGTCTGATTCTTTGTAACAATTGATTTGAGATTGCTACTTACATCAAATGTAGTTACTAAGGGGAAGTAAACAAATACGTATTTTGAGTATAGTTTCATTTGTTAATTGTTTGCTACGCAATGTGTTTTTATCTAGCCGAAATATGCTTCACATCTTTCTTAACATTATAGTTCCAGTGTCCTAACTTGCACAGTAATGTCGTATTAATGGGGGACCTTGGAAAGTTTATAGTTCAACATTATTAGGACGACCTATGACATTAGCAATGTCCATTGACTTCTGTTTACAGAAACAAAAAGACAGTATAGAACACGTCGACAATGAGATCATTTTCAAAGTAGTCATATATTAGTATTTTATTAGAGACAATCAATACTATATTCATTTTTGTACTTTTGTTCATACTATGAACGTAGAGCAATGAAGTTTACACAAAACTGAGTTTTAACGACATACCTGAACATTTTAAATAAATATTATTGTACTTTTTTCAGGCAAATGTACACGAGATATTTATGAGAATGTTCGTTTACGTGCATTGAAAAGTTCTGGATGTACAAAGTTTTGCCAATGTGAGCATGCATCAACTGAGACGGATGGCTCTGTGACGTATAAGTGGGCGGAGCATTCATGCGCACCTGGACTTTTGTTCGATGAGGAAATTAAAGTTTGCAACTGGCCCCAACAAGTTCAGTGTCAAGGTAATTTTGTTTTAGTTATTTTTTTTTTTTTGTGAAATGTGTTTTGCGTTTACTACATTGATGTGTTGCTTCTTTTCTAAAGTCCTTATTAACAGAACTATAAACTCAATAAATACATATTGCTTACTTGTTATTGACCATTAAAACTATGTTTGCCCGTGTTTATCAAACAAAGTCAAACAAAGTTTTGTCTACGTGACATTAATCATGCGTACTTGAAAATGTCGCATTGGTTAAACACAAAAATTCGTATGGGTGCATTTTCAAATGATATTTTTATGGCTTTTGTATGTTTCGTGGTAATAGCTTTTAAACATGTCAATAGAAAAAGTAACGATGCTATATTTTTTTAAATGATTTTGAATAAAGGCGTTGTTTAAAGTGAATTCTCTTATTGACTTTTTTCAGCAAATGTTCCAGAAGACTGTGAAACGGAACTTGGTAAGATGTTTTGTTTAACAATATGTAAAACGAAAATCAAGCATTGACATTAAAAATATCCTTCGCATTTGATTGCATCAGATCATATCAATCGATTAACAAAATGCGTATAAAATGCATCATTTAAGTTAACGACATTACTGATATAGTTTACTGCTTCCGAGTTTAAGGGCAATCTTCTCAATTAAAATATATTTGTGATATATCAATGAAGTGAAATTTGAGAAACTCACCTTAACTGAAAACTGATTCTTCTTGAGGGTTAATACTGCGAAGTCACATTAAATATTTTTTAAATTCAGGTCAGTGTACTAAGTTTATTTATGACGTTACTCGTTTACGTGCCTTAAAAAAGTTCGGATGTAAAAAGTTTTGCCAGTTGAGCTGCATCCACGAGCGGAGGGCTCTGTAAACGAAAATAAGTGGCCGAACTAAGTGTGACCGGGATTTTGTTCGATGGGAAAATTTAAAGTCTGTAACCGTGTGCCAGCAATACTGCAGTGCAACGGAATATATATTTCTGTTTTGTGTATATTTCGTTTAACCAAGTGATAAACTTTCAGACTGACTTCATAAGCTTAATATCTCGTTTTTCTTATATTACCAGGAAAGTTCTTTCAATAAAATGCTAGAAATATGAATTTGTTATCAGTTGTCATGTGTGCTTAACAGTTTATACAGAAAAAATCTCACCTGAATATACATGTATTACTATCTTATATATTTTCTTTATTACATACACAAGCAATTCCTTATGATATTATCTTAAATATTGTTTATATTTACAGCAAACGGTAATGGTGACAATGGTGGTGTAGTTGGTGGTGGTGGTAATAGTGATAATGGTGGTATAGGTGGTGATGGTGATGGTGTAAATGGTGGTGATGACGGTGCTCAAGGTTCTACTGATAATGGTAAAAATAGAGATATTAAACTTAATTCAAAATATAAAATGAAACATTATGCAATTAATCATTGCATCGTAAACAGTCAAATTATGCACGCTGAAAATGTTCGTTTACACGCCTTGAAAATGGTCTCGATAAACAAGCTTTTATCAATATTGGCCTGTGTTATTTCGACTGACGGTTAAATATAATGTATAAGTGAGCCGAGCATGCAAATTCATCTAGGTTTTTATAAATGAAAGATGTTTAGTTCGCAACTACCTTCTAGAAGTTCAATGTAAAATTATGTTTAGTGAAAAGTGTTTTGCGTCTGTAACATTGATATGAGCCTCCTCTGCTCAAATTATTAATTAACACAAAAGAAACAGTTCTTTTATCAAATCAACGCTAAATAAAAAAATACTGCTAACCTGTTATTGGTTATAATAACTAGAATTGTCAGAGCAAGTGTATATTGTCAATTAACAAAGCCAAACTTAAAAGGTTCCGTTAACCGTACAAAAATCATGTGAATTTAAATCACAAGACATTTTATTTTCATTTGATGTCTGTTTGACTCTTTTTTTTTTTTTTTGGTTGCTGTTATTGTTAATGTCAATGAAAATGAGTATAAAAGGACAATAATAAGAATTATAGTTATCGTTCAACTGAATTTTCCTTCTGATGTTTTTCAGCAAATGTTCCTGAAGACTGTGAAAAAGAACTTGGTAAGCAGTTCTGTTTTGCAATGCATTTAAAGACATAATTCCCATTGATAATTTGTTTTCATGAATTCTGCTAAGGCGATTTACAAAATACATAAATATAGAACATTTAAGTTTTTTAGACACTATGAATTTAATTTACAGCTTCATAGCTTCATTGTCCTTTGGAGAGGCCTTCTAAATTAAAAAATGTCAATATTATATAATAATATAGCTAATTATATAATAAAGTAATAAAGATTGCTAAACATAGATTAATTGAATGATATGGATAAGATACCTTGATGCAACATTTAAAACTTTTTCTTTAAATTCAGGTATGTGTTCTAAGTTTATTTATGACGTTATTCGTTTACGTGCCTTGAAAAGTTCTGGATGTACAAAGTTTTGCCAGTGTGAACATGCATCCACTGAGACGGACGGCTCTGTGACGTATAAGTGGGCCCAACATTCGTGTGCACCTGGTCTTTTGTTCGATGAGGAGATTAAAGTTTGTAATTGGCCGAACAATGTTCAGTGCAATGGTATATTTTTGTTTTGTATAGATTAAAACTTAATTGTATAATTATCACGTCTCCAACATATCCAGGAATTATCACACAATAAAACACTATTCACATAAATATTTGGTTCACCTTTCTAGTGTCAAACAAGAATATATACAGAAAAAACAATCTCAACGTTTTCTTTGACGTCAGTATGGATGATAACCGGTGAAATTCTTGACATGTTTCGCCCTCACTTCGTATAAATTTCTGTAAATTTACTGAAGCGTCTGTATGAAGTATCGAATCAATTGTATAGATGCTGCACAATAAAGAATATGCATGCTAATAAGATTCATCGTGCTTGTTTTATTTTTCAGCAAATGATGTTGACGACTGCGAAAAGGAACATGGTAATACTAGTACTATTTGTAATCAAAATGTAATGATGATAATATTTTTATTAAATAAAACATTTGTATGAAATATGAGTGTTTTTAAAATAACCTTCACATAAATGAAAATAATTTAACATATACAACTAAAGAAATTGATTATCAGTTCTGATTATTGCTAAAGAAAACGAAATAGAACGCTGTAATAATATACAGTTGTTAGAACATAGTTTATATTCTGTTTCCAGGCGAATGTACAGCATTTGTTTATGAAAATGTCCGATTACGTCCGTTAAAAAGTTCCGGGTGTACAAAATTTTGCCAGTGTGAGCATGCATCCACTGAAGCGGATGGTTCTGTGACGTATAAATGGGCGGAGCATACGTGTCCACCTGGACTTTTGTTTGATGTTAAAACATCAGTTTGCAACTGGCCACAAAATGTTCAGTGTGACGGTACATTGTTAATTTTCAGTATAATACTAAACAATACTTCATTTAATAAGTTATTCATAACATCGCCACATACGTTCACAACTTATACAAGCTTTTAGTTTGCTTTAATTTATGAAATAGAACCTTAAAGTGGTATAAAAGAAGTATTCGTTGTTTATCTTTATAATATATGTATTTAAGTTGAAGAGATGATAATTCATGCCAAGTCTCCCAAGTAATTATCAAAGTTTTCTTAAACTTTTATGTTATGCCCTGGTAGGGGATGTTCAACTAACTGGCATTAAAGATGCTTTCGAAAAATGAAGTTAGTATAGGTCAGCAGTTTAAACTGGAAGGAGATTTACAGCCATGTGTTTCTTTTCAAAGGAAAAACAATTAAAGGATTCATGTCTGCTTTTACAGGAAATGGCGATAATGGTGGTACCGATAATGGTGGTACCGACAATGGTGGTACCGATAATGGTGGAACCGATAATGGTGGTACAGATAATGGTGGAACCGATAATGGTGGAACCGATAATGGTGGAACTGATAATGGTGGTACCGATAATGGTGGAACCGATAATGGTGGTACAGATAATGGCGGAACCGATAATGGTGGAACCGATAATGGTGGAACTGATAATGGTGGTACCGATAATGGTGGAACCGATAATGGTGGTACAGATAATGGTGGAACCGATAATGGTGGTTCTGATAATGGCGGAACCGATAATGGTGGAACCGATAATGGTGGTACTGATAATGGCGGATCTAATGGTGACAATGGCAACAATGGCGATGGCGGAAACGGCGGCAATAATGGTGATACTGGTACTTGTCTATTTGATAATAGCAGAATTAACTGCAAAGAATATTGATGTATATTGTATTAAAAAGATTTCAAAAACTTAGGGCTAACAAATCTAAATGGTTTAGGAGATTTGTAGCACCAAATAGTAAACGATAATGATCATTTATCAACTAGTTCTGAATACCTCTATCTTTACACGAAATCAGATGTTAATGTACCTTGTACATATTGAAATTGTGTAAGAAATGACAGAAAATTATTAAGACATTTCATTTGATGACGAATATTATATATTGCTCATTACAGATTTTGAATGTTTCAAATGCTATAAAAGCGACTCCAATGAAGAGTGTAACAAAAACAAGGAAGTTTGTGAATCGGATAAAGAGGTATGAGATGATTTGCAAATTTGTTATTGTTGTTAATACAAAATTTAAATAAACCAAATAAACATGCTACACACATCTCGGAGGGATTTATCATAAAAGTTGCACAGTATTTATCAGCCAAATTATAATGAATGGACCACAACCAGTGGATGAAGTCTGCACAATGACTGGAACTGACTGGGAGGTCACTTGATGCTATAATGTTTTGAAGTTCGTATCGTATTTTACAAAAAAAGTGGAAAAAAGTTCGACATGGAAATATGAAAATTGTACCTTAACTCCATATTTTATTTTCTAAAAGTAAACAAAAATGGTAATGTTTTATCCTCTATCAAGGGCATGCATCTGGACGGCTTCATATTATCTCTGTATGTTTTAGGTTTTTGAAAATACAAAAACATAAAATTCGACCAATTTTTATTTCAATTTCACCGATATCTTGAGCCTTCACCAGAAAGATGATTAAAAGTGCTCCAGAAAACATATATTCCATTTTGTTCCTAAGGTAATTCGTTATGTTTAGAGTTTTCATCATAACATATAAAATATTTTCGGTGTATTAAACCTGGAAATGTTAATGATATGTCTCAAATATTATATTGCAGACATGTCAAACACGTATAGAATGGAAAGGTGACACATATGAAGTATCAAAAGGCTGTGTAAATAGCGATAGTAGCAGCTCAGAGGATGACTCAGGAACAAGCTCAAAAGAAACTTCGTCAAAAAATTCAAGCGATGAATCGTCTGACGATTCAAAAGAGAAATCATCGAAGAGTTCTACGGAGGAGTCATCGAAGGGTTCAAATGAGAAGTCGTCAAAGAGTTCAAAGGAGGGTTCATCAAAGAGTTCAAAGGAAAAGTCATCGAAGAGTTCGAAGGAAAAGTCATCCAAAAGTTCAAAGGAAAACTCATCAAAGAGTTCAAAGGAGGGGTCATCGAAGAGTTCAAAGGATGGGTCATCGAAGAGTTCAAAGGAGGGGTCATCGAAGAGTTCAAAAGAGGGGTCATCGAAGAGTTCAAAGGAAAAGTCATCGAAGAGTTCGAAGGAAAAGTCATCCAAGAGTTCAAAAGAAAACTCATCAAAGAGTTCAAAGGAGAAATCCACAAAGAGTTCAAAAGAAAAATCAACGAAGAGCTCAAAAGAGAAATCATCGAAAAGTTCAAAGGAGAGGTCAAGACGTAGCAACAGTGACTTCTCAGGATGCAAGAAGAATGGGAAGAAGATCACGTGTAAATATGAATGCACAAGTAGTTTGTGCAATGAATTCCTCCCACCATTGTACATTGAGTAACCAGAAAAAGCACATATAAGTCTGTCAAAATACAATGTTATTTTAAGAAATCAAGCTGCAATGTAGTTTTAAAGTTATGAATATTTGTCTTCTTGTTTTTTTATCTTTTCTTTGGAATATTGTATCTCCTTACTTTTATACTAAAACTGTTGATTTAATCTCATTTACTTCAAATAACTTGTATTACACATAATCAGCTATGAGAAAAGTGAACTTAAGTACAATTCAAAAATAAATTATCTTTAGGAAATCTGTAAAAATTCATAAAGATTAAGAAATATTTGTACGTATATACTTTATTTTAGTAAGATTATACATACAGTCATAAAAGACCTTATACTTTTCCTGATATTCGTTTTCAATGACATGATAATTTAAATTGTGATGAAAGCTTGATAGTGGTTATTTCAGTCCAACAAAAGGACGTATTGTATTCAGGGTGACGAATCAAAGAGACTTCACATATACAGTTTAGTAATATCCAAGGAAATTATTCTGTATGCAGAGAATGCTTTTTTTATTTGACGAAAATCCATCTTTAATTAAAACATGTTTTCGTAAAATACAATCATAAATCGGAGCTTATTTTAGAATTAATTTTCCGCAGTGTATTTTATCAAAGTGCGTAAAAGTACCACCTTGATATATGCTGTAAACTTTTACTGTTTAATGTTATATTAAGATGCGCTTCAGTTAAAAGAAAAGAATACAGTCAAAGAGCCACATTTCGTTTATTTCGATTTCGAACTAAAGTGTCCGAACCTTTGATTCAACGACACATTTTCTATCATCCTAAATGTTGATGAAAACATTAGACAAGAAATTTTAATAATTTTTGTTCATTTTAAATTAAAACAGTGTGCTATTCAATCAAGCAATCAATCTCCATTAAATAATCGGCATAAATATGCCTTGGCCATTTACAAAAATAAAGTATATTTTAAAGAACATGATCAAAACAAAATAAAGTACATATGATCGTAATTTAACAAGATAAAGTTTCTTAATAGCCGGTAATTGTAGAGCAAAATGAACAATTGTGTAGAAATGACATGATACTGTATAAATTTCTTTTTTTTTTAATGTTATGATTATTAAAATAAAAATGTATGTGTATTTTATAAACAAATGTCTTGTTTCCTTGTTTCATCATAATTATCTAATTTGCATTTTTCTTCAACAAAAAAAAACATTTTTGGGGAACAAAGAAAGATTATAATTATGTTTTCCATCTTTCAAACTTAAATGATCTAAAAGTAAGATAAAATAAAAACGATGTTCAAATAATTTTTTTAAAATATTTGAAATAACTCTACACTACACTTCACTATCTGTGTTGCTTTTATCTAAATCAAAGACTTTCAAACCCTACATTTATTAAATGTTACGGAATAAATCAGAAGGCAGTAATGTATTAACATTTATGGCCACTTGACTTTTGATTTGTTACAAATATCAACTTCAATAAAAAAAGTTTTTATTAGACAAGAACATACTCCTAAATATTTACAAAGTCTTTATTGGCCTTTTTAACTTCCAGTCTTTATAGCAAATAGCTTATATATAGATTTCATTTTGTTTATTCAGTTAAAGAACTTTATCTTTAAGTTAAATAGAAAACTGTGATTAAGAAACGAAGTTTGCAATTTTAAAAGAAAAATATCATGGTACCTTTACACTCTTAGTGAATATTTTTGCTAAGTAAATATATTTAATTTATTAGATTAATTAAGGTCTAATTTATTGTTTACCAGTATCTATATATCATTTGGATCAATAGAGAATCTTATCTCATTTGGTAAGAAAGATAATAGTGTCATCTTAACCTGATGATGAATAGTTCAGCTTGAAACGAGCAATTAATTTCGACTCTTTAATAGACTCTATTTGACCTGGTTTTGATTGCAAAATGTTTAGCTTTAATAGAAATTAATTGTTGTGAACAGAGGAGTATCGTGTATGTGTAGAAACACCAATAAAGAGTATTAGCCCGTGGCGTGTTAGATAAGCCGATGTGTGACAACATTTTTCAGCACCGCTTTTTTAATAATATTTATGGTTTTTCTATCCGGTTTAGTGAGAATCACCATCGTTAAATCACCCATTTGTTATACATACACTGATGAGTCTTCATCCTTCGGTCGGGAGGCCATTAGACATAGCACTACGCTATCAAGTGCAAACCAGGACACGTCATCTTCTGGTCATGAAAGAGTTGCTTTTCAATTTTAAAAGGTACAAATCTGTCTCTATGAATTATCATTTTATTTTAATTCGGTTTACTTCAAATATTTTTTTTTCAGCTTTAAGCACCGCCTACCACTCTAAGACTTCCTCGTCGAACGTTTATCTACGTAGAACCATATGGAGGGCGATCGTTGCCAAAATTCCAGACATGTAATGTGTTCCTTTTGAAAAACTTCTTTTGAAAATGCGAACATGTATGTCTAGCATTTTTGATTGTATTCGTGCAGTGCAAATGATATGCCTCTTAATCCAATCTTTTAATTGAAGGCACCTGCTTTCAAATAACAAGTTTACATGTAAATGTTAACAACTGACCTAACATGGAGAACAACAACAAATTTACAAGTTTATATCTTCCATTGCATATAATACATAAGCATGTTTACACACTTGTAGATATCTATCTGTACCTGAAAAATACAAAGGAAATGTAAAACTCGAATACAGAAAGTATTATTCAATAAAACGTGTTTCCAGACGTAGAACTGCAACAGTACGTTTACACAGTAACATGTTTAAAATGACAAAACTAGATTTACAAAGTTAAACGATTTTAAGTCATGCATGACGCCCCGCCTCTCTCTGAGTATTTACGATCTTCTATTACGGAAATGTACGGACAGGTATAATACCCGTCGCCTCTCTCCTATTTCTCAATAAAGTGAAGGAAAACACGGCGTCCATTCTAACTTTTTTTTTAATTCTATAAAAAGTCAAATATTTTTGGTATCAAATGAAAGATTACTCCATAAGCTTTCTATGAGTGCCTCGGAAATAAAAATGAATTAAATAGATGTATTGAAATTTTTGTTTCAAAATTTATCATTTTTTTCCTCTGAAAATAACACTCTCGAATTGGTAAGAAAAACACGGCGTTCCCTCCAAACTTTTTTTAATTTCGTAATCAATTTTGATAATTTTGGATTGAAATAAAAGTGTGCTTCATACGCTTTATGATAACTAAATATATAAAGCCTACAAATAAAAATGAATTAAATCAAAATGAATTAACTTTTTTTCGTTTAAAAGTTTATCATGTTACTTTCTGTAAAATAGAGAAAATAAGAATCCCTGAAGAACGCTCAAAACGACAAAATTGAGAATGTTGCAGGCTTGGTTTGATTGAGCCTGTTCATGGACGGTAATGGAAAGAGCAAGTTACCGTCCACGCCCCCTAGCACCGGCTTAAGCAAAATTTAACATGAACTCGTACAATTTTGAATTTTGAAACATCCGCAGATGTGTTAATATGGCGATTATCATGAAACCTTCAATGTGACACGTTAGTGCCATACCATGTTAAACGGAATATGGTCCCCAAGTAAAAAATCAAAACACACTCTGAAATTCAGTAAGAGAAACATGACGGGGCGCCCCTTACTTACTTCTTTTATTTCTTGGTCAATTTTGATAATTTTAGACTATAGTAACAGAATCCTTTATGAACTTTCTAGTGATGCCTTAAAAATAAAAAAATTACGTAGAAGTATTTAAAATTTTGTTTCAAACTTATCGTTGTTTATTTTTTATCTCTTAAAACCACACTCATATATTCGGGAAAAAATGACGTCGCTTTCTTCAGATACTATATTCAAAAACGAAAATGAATATTGAATGAAAGTTAAGACCATAAGCTTTGAACAAGCATATTAAAAATCTGGAAACAAAGTGATCCCTCGGAAGCAATAATCACAACAAAATTACATAAGAATTGCAGACTCAGTTTGATTGATTCTGTACATGAGGGATAATGTACAAGTGCAAAATTTTTTATTCATACTGAAAATACTTTATTAAAGATTGTACATATGTGCTACGGATAAGTATTTTCTTGATTTCGGAAAGGAAATCTCGGTGGCCGCTTTAAAATCCTATTTTTGTAAATACTTGCATAGTTTTTGTTGAAAATGAAATTTGTGCCAATACATTTTTCAATGATACCAATAAAAATATTGGATGGTTTTTAGATTATCAATAAAATTACTCCCTTGAAGTTGGTAATTGATTCTCAAAAAAATTTCCAAAGCGCCGATGTTTCTCAGGAATATATGATAAACAAGATCAACAAGGAAAGGCGGCGCTCAATGAACGCAACCCCACATGACCCAGCAACAAGAACAAGTAGCAAGGAACCCAGGCGGACCCAAACAAAACACAGGACAGTGCACTAGGCAGAGCACGGACAGGCTAATCACTAAAATTATAAATAAATTGTAACTGATAAGAACACGATGTTAAATAATAAGTTAATTCATAAGTTATCTTCATCATAAATGGTAAAATCAGCAATTTTCAAGTGATGTTGCTAGTGACAAAACTTTTGTAACAAATGTAACAAATATATGTTATGAAAAATGCGGTATGTTGTCCTTCAGTTTTATTTAGAAATATGGGAGAGGCGCCGTTTTATACCTGTTCGCAATAGAAGTTCGTAAATACTCCGAGAGGGGCGGGGCGTTATGCTTGACTTAAAATCGTTTAACTTTGTGAATCTACTTTTGTCATTTTAAACATGTTACTGTGTTAACGTACTCTTGTAGTTCTACAACTGGTAACACGTTTTCTTAAACTCTATTTTCTGTATTTAAGATTTACATTTCATTTGTATATTTCATTTCTATAAATGTGCAAACATACATATGTATTGCATGCAATGGAAGATACGAACTTGTAAATTTGTTGTCGTTTTAGATGTTAGGTCAGTTGTTACGATATATATGTAAACTTGTTATATAAAGGCGGGCACCTTCAATTAAAAGACTGAATTAATAGGCATATTATGTGCTATGCACGGGTAAAATAGAAAATAGTAGGCATACAAGTTCGCATTTTCATAAGTCATTTTAAAAAGGAACACTTTACATGTCTGGAATTTTGGCAACGAACGCCATCCATATAACCATTCCCCTTTGCATTACCAAAGATAATAAAAGCTTCCTCTTGTTATTTCAAGTTTCAAAATTATTCTGAATGTACCATCTGCACCAACCATTGAGAAAAGAGAATATCTTATAAAATATGATGCCCCATTAAAATAGGATATAATAATACATTTTGCTTGTCTGTCCGATCTGCTTTCAGACTTTCCCTCTGTCGTACCGTCACGTTGTTCCTCCGTACAGACGACTGTGATGGGTGGGGCTGTTATACTAGTGTTATCATTTTTAATGTCCTTTGTACCCGTTATAAGATTATCATTAATACTTTACCGTTTTTCATTGGCTGATTACAAAGTTCTTATTTTCAGAATACATACGAGAATTACATAGCGAGTAAAAATCAATACAAATAGGGTAACAGTTCTGTTATACTTACATGACTACCCTGTTAAATCTTAAAATTCCACATTAAGCATACATTAATGTAATACACTTCCACTTTTTGTTTTCACTTAAAGCATTTCTGTAATCAGTGAAACATGGCAATCTGAAAAAGCATGCATATACATGTACTGATATTTCTAAGCTTCAGTATACCAAATACCAAAAAAAAAAAAACACTACTTTTCCTCTCTTTCTCTCTCAAATAAGATAACTGTGTTAAGTTACAAAAAGAAGGGCTCAGTGGTTGTCTCCCTTGGGATATCATCTGTACGACAATAAAATTATTTGTGTTCTACGGAAGATATACGTATATAGTAGACAATTATTTGTGTTCTACGGAAGATATACGTATATAGTAGACAATTATTTGTGTTCTACGGAAGAAATTCGTATTTAGAAGGAGAGAAAAAATGACAAATGAAAAAAAATGAAAAAAAATTGATAAAAGAAAAACAAAAATGTTGAGCATAAATGCACTAGTTAGTATCGTTCCAAATTTAATGACAGATCATCAATAAACTATACGGTTAGAACTAGATAAGTTCACGTTACAAGTATATGTTGT